GAGATATTTATTCCAATGGGAGGGGTAAAATTTAAAATAAAAAAAGATCAATAATGTCTGACAAAAAAAAAAAATTCTAGGAGAATAACTTAATGAGAATTGCCTGTAATGTATGAAAAAATATAAATACAGTCTCTGGCCAAATTATTAGATGCAATATAGGATTCTATGTAAAATTTTAATTATCAGGTGATACTATATAGATTGTTTTTACGCTACTGAAACCGGTTTGTAATTGTTTACATTCGTGTATAATTTGGTGAAATTAGACGTTATATAATATAAATTCGGCAATTGAATAAATGAGACGATATATTATGTAAATATAAAATATTTATTACATCGGGTATTATATTAGTATATTACAATGATTAGACCAAATCATTAGATACACTGTAGTGTTTTAGTAATTGCATGTTTTGCACGAGTTTATACGCAATACTTTTATATTTAAACAAAAATGTAATGGATTTTTATAGAGGAGATTTTTATATACTTCCCATTTGTATTTATTTTTAACGTAATGCATTACAATGTTAACCAATTAATACATGAACGTAAACAAGTATAAACCGGTTTCAACTGCGTAAAAACATTCAAGTTGCAGTTCTATTTATCTAATAAAATTCAATTCAAAAGTTTCAGTTTCAGAAACTAATAATTAAACAGGTTGCTAAACATTGTAACTCAAAATATTGAAACATTTTCTAAATATAAATAGATACTTATATGTTTTTGTCATCTAATTGTAATTGGCTTAGCTTACGTTAGAAGTGGATGTTCAAATAAAACAGTACAATAATAAAATAAATAAAATATTGTTTGTTTTTGGCAGTGTTGGACAACCCGTCTGCCTTTTCGCAGAGGAAATCACAAACCAAGTCTCAGCTGTCCAGCCCTTGTCTCTTGTTTTTAACTTTAATATCAAGTATATTAATATAGTTTTACGATTAATTTAAAATTAAAAAAAGTGTAATTTTACATAAAAACGAAGCTTATACTTCAATATATTTGATAAAATTTTGTGAGGAACGCTCTTAAAGAATCTTTTGTGTTTTCCTTCTGCGCTTAAAAATCTTGACCACATGGAAGAGATATTTTTTCCAACTTTTTGTTTCGTTCTTCGATACTTGACTATTATAAGTTAAAAGGGAGCTTTGTGAAAACATGATCAATGTACTCATGCACGTGCTATAAGATACTTGAAAAAACTACTACAATTACTTTCGGCGTTCCTTTTCAAATTGTTTTGCGATCCCAAGACTTCTTCGCTTACTCATCGGGGACTTATGCATATTAGTCTAGCTTTGCATGTCCTAAAAACATTTTGTGAAACATTTGATTTATAAAGATCGTCATTCGATTTATATACAATTCAATTCAGCGACACTCGGAAATATTATATGTGAAACAAATAATTCATAGAATTTACCTATTTACACATTACATAAAATACCTGTTTTTTTATGTATATTTGATTATTTAAAGCTGTTGTGTTGACAAAATATTTTTTTCATCTTAATCATAAATGGATTAAAAACCATCAGATCAAATTCTATTATTTGAAATACAGATTTGCGTGCCATATGATAACTTTACCTTTTGTCAAATCATTTTACTACAGGGTGCGTAGACAAATTATTAAACAAAAAATAAGCACTTTTCAAGCACTCAAAAAATATTTTTAAGCATTTAAAAAAAATATCATAATTAGACATGGTTGGAAAGTTTTTGACACTTAACGGTTTTATCTCGTTTTAAACGTCATGTCAAAAAAGAAAAATCCTTTTTTATATTGTTTTTTACAATAGTCAAAAATCGCGAAATTTTGAATCGTGTAAAACGAATGGCGTTTTCATACGCTACGTACTGACAATACGCCGAAATAGATTGGGGTTGAATTAATTGTGAAAACGTTGAATAGAACAATGTGAACTGTGCCTTTTTACATAATTCGAAACGAAAATCAACATAGTAAAGGCAAAATCTCATTTTGAAAAATGGAAAATTAAGCACTTTTTTAAAAATACCCACTGAAAAAAGCACCTTTATGGACTTTTTAAAAACGCTACACACCCTCTACTATTATTTTCTATACTTGCACTAACTTATTAACTGCCTCCAGCGATTATTTTGTGTTTTATAACATCGTATAAATAAAATTGTAACGATTCGATTTTATTGTCTAATTGATACAATATTGAAAGGAGATCACAAAACTATCGTTTTGTCGTCACCTACTTCCACAAATGGTTTCCACATCCGATTCCTTTGAACGAAGCAGGATAATCTCCTTTTTCGTCACAAATATAAAAGCTTACTGGCTGTTTCTACTTTTGTATTTTGGAGAGTCTTCTCTGTATCTTGAATTTTCAAAGCGTCAACCAAGGTCATAAGCGTTTCCAGACATTCTAATGGGTCAATATAGTTTTAATAGTTTTTACACTTTAATATGACTTAGATATGAAGAGCCTTTAGGTCGAGACAGATTTTAGACTTTTCCTCGCAAATAAAATCGCCTCTTAATTAAGTGACCCATGTTCAAATCTCAGAGTTGAATGCTCGATAAGAATTCTGCTGACATCTTAAAATATCCAAATGTAGTGCGAGTATAGATTTACTTAGTAAGTTTCACAGAGAATGCTAAAAATCTGTTGTGGTTACAGATTTACTTGTATAAGATTGCACAGTTACTAATATAGGGCCTTTATATCTATGCTTTTGTAGAATAAACTTGTTTTGGTGTGGTAAAAAAACAAGTTTGGCTACTGATTTTGCTTGTAATTTTTGCGAAAAAAAACTTGTTCTTGTATTGTAGATAAATAGTTGAGGCTACGGGTTTAATCCATAAGCTTTAGAGTTATAGAATAAAGAAGTAGAACTGCTTGAAGAAAAAGAATAAAATTAAATAGGTAGAAAATCTTTTAATGGGAAAACGTAAAGGTTTTCATCAGGACACATTCTTTTAAGTTGATAAATGCGATATTTCTAAATGAAGAATAATTATCCTCAGATAAGGATGTGTAATAATGTATATATATATATATATAAATTGAATCAATAAACAATAAATTTCAGGCCTGTGTCTGTCTATGAAGCACATCTCTCCTGGATTAATTATTAAGCGTCACTAAACAAAAATATAGCATTAAATTATTATGCTACTTGGGAAAATTGATAAGCATAACATAAAAAATATCGATAAGCCTGTTTACGTGAACAATTCACTTTTAACCTTTTATATTTGCCCAACTTAAAGCTCAATTTGTTTCAGATTTTCGTTGCCAACTTGAGAAAAGAAATTTCATCGGACAATGTACGCATTAGTGTTTCATGTGATATAAATGTCTAAAAAAAAAATTATAACAACATACTTTAATAAATTTAAATAATTCGATTTCCAAGATATTTAGTGCGGTTATACTTATAATTTTTTTATTAAACTTATAATTTTTTTAAATTAAACTTATAATATTTTTAACACCATAATTTTTTATTTTATTTCAAGTTTGTGTCAGTTGGCATGTAAATGGGTCATCACATAGCTGATTGGCGTAACTTGGCGAAATCAAAACACAGAGCAACCTTAGCGTGCGGGGGATGACACTCACTTAATTTCGGTGACAGACCAACACAAATGATCACACGGAGATCATGACCTCATGAGATCCAAAAAACGTGACTGGCATTTCGGAAAAACCCCCCGGTGAAGGAAAGAGGGGTGGAAGTATTCCTGGGGGATAAGGCCCCGTTGTTTCCTATTTAAATGTAGGAAGTATTTATTCTAATCCCTGATTTCGTCAGCTTTTTCACTTGACTGATTCTCGCGATAGGGATGTTCTAGCCATGCAGTGCAGTCCATCACAAAAATTAAATACTTTCAATAAACTTTTGATTTAATGATCGCATTTCCAAGTGTTCTTTCTAGTGTTTATAGCTCGAAAAACCCACACGAGTTACGAAAATTGATTAGGCTGAATAGTTTAGTCATAAAAGAGATTTTTCTGTGAATAATACAATTTTTTCAATGAAGATTTGCATTCAGATAGCTCAAAAATAAAAGGATATCCAAAAGTTTTAAGAAAATAGGAGTAATAAGCTTAAAGAATTATGATCCATGACAATTTATTATTTTAAACATTTAAAAAAACCAAACTTCTAGAAAATGTTTGAGTTATAGTTGAAGTTGGATTCAAAACGGCTGTCACGCCCCAAGTAGATACAAATGTATTTATATACAGCAAGAAATACTAAAAACAGATGGATATTCAAATGCTACAAGAAGCCATGACAGAATCTTCCATGATTTGGATAAATTTGAAAAGCCCTGAATCATGTTATGAAAAAATTTTCAGAGATTGAAATTTATTGTAATCCTACTGATATTTCAAAAATTCTGTCATTTTTATCGGCATACATGGAATCATCCTTTCTTTCTTTCTTTTTTTTTTCATGTGAAAAACTTTGCGAAAATAACAGGAAAAGAATTTGGAATTAAAATCGTTGAAGAAGTAGTGTATAAGTTACTGTGAATCACCGAAATTGGTGGTTGTCGACTTCCAAAGGTGAATGTTGACAATCACATAGCAGCTGTAATAAATGTCCGAAATAAAAACTAGATCTAGGATGCCCCTGCCTGACATGCATTTTCCCGGTATGCCCTACACCAATATTTTTTAAGGTTCAGTGCCACTACCCGATATACATTTGCCCGGTATGCCTTACATCCATGTTTTTTTTAAAGTCATGTGCCACTGTCCAGTGTGCATTTAAGCCTGTACTCCGAACACTGATATTTTTCCCAATCTATCTTTAGCAGATATTAAATTATCCAATAAATATAATGATATCAACAAATAAATTATTATCAAATTGGATGTAACAAATATTTTGGACATTTACCGAAGCGACTATAAGATGGTTGACATTCACCGGTGAAAGTCGGCATTCTCTTGATTTCGGTCAATCACGGTGACATATATTGAAATAAAAGGACTCACCTTGCATATTTCTGATGTGTGGGTGGGTGTGGGCGTCTAAAGATGTCTTCGTCATCCCGCTTATGGCATTGTGCGGATAACCTGCAACAACAACAAAAAGTAAAACAACCAACTTTGTTTCAATTCGATGTCAACACTTCAATTTACAGTAACAGACCTATCGGCGATGTTTCAATTCGATGTCACGTTTCAGTTTACACTAACAGACCTATCGGCGATGTTTCAATGCTGGTCAACTTACACTTCCACAATTTATAGTGGAAAAAAATATGGAGAAGATATCACTCGGTTTGTAGCATCATGCTCCCAACAAACGTGGCTGTTCTCAAACAGTCCAGGACATTTATCGATGTCCGGCCCAAGCCATGGAAAGCGAAGACCGATTGTGGTTTCGAGTTATTTTCATTATTAATTTTTAATTTTTGAAAATATATAAAGTATATAAATTTGTCTTTTCATTTCTTTACAATTACTTTTTTTTTTTTTTTTTTTAAAAAATAAAANTTTACATATATATATATATATATATATATATCTTTATTGAAGCATTGGTAAGTTAAAGTATTTTTTTTAAACCTATTTCTACCTAAAATACTATTCAGATTACAATTTATTTCTTTATATATTTTTTCAAATTTAAATCTATTAAAGTTTTGTAAAACTCACTGATAAATTATGCACCATTTAATTTTAATTTTATTTTATAACCGTCGTTGAACAACCGGTCCCAATTTTTGGGTTCAGCTACGTAGAATTGTAATTTTGAACCCAATCCATAAGACAAAGGGACTCCTAGATCAAGCATTGGGAAAAATTTGTTTTCGTGGAAGACTTTTTGATGGAACTAACCCGCGTTTGCGTTACATGGAGAGGTAAACCACGAAAACCTCTCAGGTTAGCCTGACGGTAAAGGGACTCTAACCCATGATCCGTCTACCACTGAGGATATTTTAAGTCAGCGCTGTGGGCTGTGCAAACCGGATGCGGTATTCGTATCGACCAGCCATTGCTGGAATTCGAACTCGGTGCACTTCATTCGACGACAAACACTCTGTCCCCTGAGTCACCACAGCTCTTTTACTCCTATTTTATTTTTATAATTTTATAACCGTCACTGAATATCCGACCCAATTTTTAGTTTAAGACTACTAATGTTCATCTCCGCAGCCTTGTCATTGTGACCCAATCCAGAAGACAAGAGAACTCCTGTGTCAAGTATTGGGAGAAATTCGCCGTCGGGCAGAACTTTCTCATGGAACTAATCCGCATTTGCTTTACATAGAGAAGAAAATCACGAAAACCTTCCACGGTTACTCTGACTGCAAGGGGACTCTAACTCATGATCCGTCTACCACTGAGGATATTTTACGTCAGCACTGTGGTCGGTGCCAGCCGGATGCGGAATATGTATCAATCAGCCATCGCTGATTTTCGAACCTGGTTCACCTCATCCCCTGAGCCATCACGGCTCTGATCCAAATAATAACGTTCTTTTTCTAATTCTGAATGATAGTTTTGATGAAAGTTACCATAGCTTTTACAGTTCCTTCATGCGTACATACGCCCTATAATATGTCACAACAGGAAAATGATTCCCTGCTATAAGATTTTTATTGATGAAGAATTTTTTGATGAAGAGCGTATGTCAATTGTTCTTCTCTCACGTGGAAGGGATTCGAAGGCAAACAGAATATAAGGGGGGTGGAGATTGAGTACACACTGATTAGTAGTAGGGGCGTTTGGTAGAGCGCCCTATCAACGTGCATGCTCGATTAACTTCGAATGGATCGGGATGCAAAAAGATGATGGTTTCATTACTCATAATGCAAGAGGTTTTATTAACCCTTACTAAAAAGACTGTCAGAAGGTCACGTGGGCAGCTCTGGATGAACCCCCGACTGCTTTTATTAGAGATTATCAAAGAAGTAATAGAGGATGTAAATATGGCTCAGTTTCAGATACTAGCACATACAGTTGAACCTCGATTTAACGTACTTTGAATAAATGAATTCTCCGATTTAACGAGTATTTTCTCTGTCTCGACGAAAAGGGTTGCTGAAATGCTCTCATTTAACGAATTTTTAGCCTCAATTTAAAGAACAATAATCGACAAAAAGGGTTGCTGAAATGCTCTCATTTAACGAATTTTTAGCCTCAATTTAACGAACAATAATCGACAAAAAGGGTTGCTGAAATGCTCTCATTTAACGAATTTTTAGGCTTGATTTAACGAACAATTAGCGCTGGTAAAAAATTCGCACATAAAACTAAAACTTTGAATTTTTCGCACTTAAAATTTTGACCCCAATCCAAATGTGTAATTATATTTATGTATTAAGTTTTAAAAGCAAATAGCATTAAAGAATTAAAAACATTTTAACTTTGATTTCCTAACGTATAACTTATGATTTTTAAGCTCGTAGTATATAATAATCACTTTTTTTCATGATCTGAATATCTAAGGGTATTTTTCACTGATATTTTTATACCATACTATTTACAAAAATTGATATTCGATTTAACGAACGGATTTGTCGGTCCCTATCAATTCGTTAAATCGAGGTCCAACTGTAGAATCATTTAACATTCTATTACATCGATTATAAAACCGCTAAGGATCTATTTTTCTCCCTACAAAATTATCTATTATAAACGTTTTGCTTCATATTGAGATTTTTGTTACGCATGGTAACTTATTAAATTATATTTAAAATTAGTTTCATGGTAATCGAAAATGGCAAAATGAAATTTTTTGATGGTGTCATTTTGATTTTCCTCAGCCTGTTTTCCCGTGGAGCCTAGAGACGTTAGCGATTTGTATTATTATAACTTATAACTGCAAAACATATTTTTTTAATTTCTGGTATCATATGACATCCCCTGGTACTCTGTTGGACATAAAGTGTGACCAAAGAACCCAGACTGTTTTGGCCAGATTTGCAAGTGGCCATCTTAAGGGCCTAACTTTTGAGGGAGGCAGAAAGATCTGTACGTAAGAAAGATCTGACGTCAATTATTACAACATATACAAGATAAACCCATAAAGCATCTTTTTCCCCCCTATAAAATTTATTATAAACGTATTGCTTCATATTAGTATTTTATATTACATGGTGCCGTATTAAATTACATTTAAATTAGTTACATAGTTAAGAAAAATAGCAAATTTATTTCTAAGTAGGTTTCACTTTGATTTTTTTCAACCTCATTTCAAGCGGAGCCTTTTTGACGTCAATTATTACAACATATATAAATGTAACCACAAAGTATCTTTCTTTTTCCTCCAACAAAATCTATTATAAACGTTTTGCTTCAGATCAGTATTTTATATTACTCATGGCGCCGTATTAAATTACATTTAAATTAGTTTTAAAGTTATCATAAATTGGCAAATTTATTTCTAAGTAAGTTTCACTTTGATTTTTCTCAACCTCTTTTGAAGCGTAGTCTTTTGACGTCAATTGTTACAAATGTACCTGCAAAGAATTATTTTTTTCCCAACAAAATCTATTCGAAACGTTTTGCTTCATATCAGTATTTTATACTACTCATGGCGCCGTATTAAATTACATTTAAATTAGTTTCAAAGTTATCAAAAATGGGAAAATTTACTTCTAAGTAAGTTTCACTTTGATTTTTCTCAACCTCCTTTCTAGCGGAGTCTTTTTGACGTCAATTATTACAACATACATAAATATACCTGCAAAGGATCCTTTTTTTTCCAATGGAACAAATAAGAAGAAAAGAAAGACAGAAAGTGAGAATAATACTATTTCAAATAACCCCCTGTTATATTATTTTTATTAATATCGCTTTTTAATGAAAAGAGAGACAGACGCGGATTATTGGCTTCACTCCAAAAACGGAGAAGTGATGAGGGGGTGATGGTGGTGATGGGTGCTTCTATGTAAATAATAATCTGTTGGGCGCAAAATTTTCTCGAATTACGAGTACCGCTCTCCATTGTTCTGGGAAACAGTGCCGTTCCATTTCCTGTCTGGCCATTATTTCTAACCTAGGATAAAATGGCCGCCCCATAACCGGTCAGCCAGCTTCAATTTCTCTTATCTACGATCAAACCTTGTGGTTTGCTCCCTACTATTTACCACGAATTGACGGAAACATAGGACCCCAAAAGTCTTCATCGCTTTTGAAGCGGTCCCCAACTCACAAATTGAATTACCTTCCGGAATCGAATGCCGGACTCTTTTATTGCGCAGTTTTAACGAGCGCTTTGGGATATATTTTGCTGCCGGACGAAAGTGGAAACAAACCGCCGCCGCGCTTTTAATGATGATTTTCTACAAAGGGTCTAATTTCATTTGGAAAAATTTTTCTTCGCCACCACTTGGATTTGTATAAATTTGGTGCGCTGAAGAGAGAGAGATGATATCCCTTCCCCTGTCTGCTCCAAATTATCAACACTCTCTCGCCTTCATTAAGACATTTTACTCGGAATAATATGATTAGAGACTGTTTCAAACGCTGTTCGGCGCTGTGATCGCCACCCCCCTTCCAGTCGCAACTTTAATTATAAGGATTTGCTTAATTTGCCGCTAGTCTTTGTTCTTAATGAGTAATTCTGATGCCCACGTTCGAAATGTTAATCTCATTAACTTGGAATTCCAGAAGATACAAATACATGTCCCTTTTCGAACTTTTAATTACCTTATCTGCTTGCAAACATTCTCATTAACATGCCGAGCCTTTGCTTAATTAGGTACAATTATTATACATACATAAATTATGCATATCTCTGTGCATATGGGATTTTTCGATGCCGCAATTATGTACACTTTTTAAAATCTGCCTCAGCTTTGGAAGTTGCATCAGATTTCGTAAAGAAAGTTATCAATCGAATAGACTAAAACAAATTTTGTTTAATTTGTGGGGAATTGCCGTCTTCGTCTTCCATTGCTGGTAGCCATTGTCTCAAACAGCAAATCATTCGTTACATATTTATATTCTTGTACAAATAAACTTAACATCTTGGTAATTTTTTGTTTAAAAAAATAAGGAAGAAAAAGAAAAATGCCTTTTTACATGCACTGCTTGAAAATTCGAAATGTGTTAAATCTTAA